GATCTATTTCCCCCTCGTCATATATAAATATATTTATATCTTTATATGCCTGTATTTACATCTCTATGAGTACCCTTTGCCTCCTAGTTCTTTCCTCTGTTTCTTTGTACTTTCCTCTTGTCCCACTATCATATTCTGCCTTCATTTGGGTTTTAGGCATTCCTATCGGTTGCCCTTGATTGATCCAGCCCTTCAAGGCCTTCCACACCCTCCTTGACATTGGTTTTGGATCACTTGTTCCCTTGTCCCTGTGCTTGTTAACGCCCTCTTCCTTTCCCCTGCCTCCCCTACCCCCATGCTCCCGGGATCTGTCATCCCATTGTTTTCTCTTCTGGCTTGTTTATTCCGCCTATCCCTTCAGGTAGACATGCTATGTACCGTCACCAGACTGAGTGCAACGAAGTGACAACAGAAAGTAAAGCAATGGCTACAACTACAACATACACACACACATGCATACATATATAATAACCATATGAATAGTTCAGGGTTTGTTTGTTTTCCTTCACGTGTGCTTTCCAGTCAAGTCTGGTGGGGAGCCATGCCCTGGCACCGCCTCTATCCCTGGGGACCTCATCCCTCTGCTCCCCCTGCTGCTCTGATGCATGCCCCCAGTTCCCGCTGTTTGTCCCCAGTGCTGTCCCCAGTGGTGTGATGGGTCAACGAGTAACACTGTGTCCCATGGTGGGGCCGGCCCGTGGTCATCTCTGTGCATCGCTGTTCGGAACAGGCATGTTGTCCCCAGGGCTCAGTGAGCCAGGATGTGCTCCACTCTTTCCTTTTCTTCCCCTTCTCCCCTCATTGACTCACATGTGCTCTGACCAGACCAGTCCCCCTTCTCCTCTTCCCACATTGCAGCTTCAGTGCTGTCCTCTGGAGTGAATTCCCCCTGGGGGAGGGTGGTGCTGTGCACCCAGTTGGTAATGGGTCCGGCCATTTTAGCTTTTCAAAAGATCAATCTATGTACATGCAGTCAAAGAGACTTAGAATTAAGTACTGGTTGGGCTACTATTTGTGGAATCCTAGATGGTACACTTAAAGCTCTTGAAACCTCAGGGTTTTTTTTTTTTAACTTTCATTTTGATTGGAGGGTGATTTTGTACCTCATAGAACATTTCACAATGTCTGAAAACAATTTTGGATGTCAACTGATAAGAATGCTATTGGCAATGGTATTTGTACAAGGGATGTTGCAAAATATGGTGCAGCTCCCCACAACAAAGAATTACCCAGCTCAAAGTATCAATAGATTTACTATGTATCCTAAAGGCTTCAATTTTTTGTTTTGTTTTCTTTTTTTAAACCATTCTATTTTGTTAACTTTTCATTTTTGCATAGGAATTTTATTTTGAGTAAATTTGCCATGTATTCACATTTTAGTTTTTTGATACAATTTTGTATTTCTTTAAAATTAGGAAAATATTAAAAAATAGAAATTATATGTGTGTGAAAGAATAATAAAACGTTTCTGTTTTTAAAATTATTTGATGATTCAGGGACAATGGACAAGAAGATTCGACTGCAAAGGTGCCTATTTTTGGCAAGGATTTCTATAATCCTTCCCCAGGAATTTGTACCCGGAGTATTTTTCCTTTTTGACTCCTGTCTGTAACTTACTTCCCTTCTAGTCTATTCTACATATTGGTAACAGCTTTCATCCAAGGCTTGGAACAGGTTCATTTAGGTTTTACCTCTTGCTTGGAATTTGTTTTTCTATCTCAGAGACATTGAATTTCGAGATCAGTATTTTTACAGGATCCTCAGTGTTATTCTTATATGTACATATGAATCATATATAATGTATGGGTGTGGATGTGTAGGAGCAGGGTGGATATAGCACCTGGGAGTAATGATAAACTTTGGATTTGGAGTTTGAAATGTAAGCTTTGAGCAGTGGGTTGACCCTGAATCACCTGGTTTGAAGCCCTGCTTTCATCTTGCCACTCTTCTTAAAACAGGCACAATTTAAAATTCTCTTTTATTCCATGTCATTTGTCATACTAGTTTTTGCTCATATTGTTCAAAGCTATTTGAAATACCTATATCAATTTTTTTCTGCTGTCAGTCACCAGAAATCTAAAATAAGTAAATTACAATGAAATTGTGAATTTAATTGAAAACCCTTATGTCTGTGTATGTTTTATTCTTTTATTAAAATAGGACCCCTGTTGGTGCAGTGGGTTAAACATTGAGCTGCTAATCGTAAGTCATGTAGTTTAATCCCACCTGCCCTGTGCAGGAGAAACACCAGGCAACTCAAGGTTTATGTTCTTGAAAACCCTATGAAACAATTCTATTCTGTCCTATTGAGTGTCTATGAGTCAGAATTGGATTTCTGGCAGTGGGTTTTCCTGGGTATCATGGAAACATGTATATAACAAATACATTACCTCAACAATTTCTACATGTCCAATTCTATGACATCTAAAAGTTGTGCAAGTATTACTGCCTTTTTCCAAGTCATTCCACTACCAATGTGTGTGTGTTCGAGGTTGGGATGCACCATATACTGGTGTGCTGGATTCACTGGTTAAACTTATATACATTTATGCATAATCATTTCCTTTCCTTTTACACTTCCCTTTTTTCCTTTTCTAAATCTTTCCATATAGAACAGTCTCTTTATGCCCTAAACTGTGAGTCCACCTATTGGTTGTGGTAACCACTTGATACTTTATTTTAGCATTTATAATGTCTCTAATCCTTAATTAAATTATAAACTCCTTGAGGATAGAAGCGGTGTTTTTATTATATCTTTTTCCTTTAGCACTAAGAATATAATTTCTGAATTTATAAGTTCAACTCTTTTTCTGCATCTCTTGTCAGGTACCGTTTCATTAAGAAAATGGCAGATCCTTAATACTTAGTCCATCTTGCTGCCTTTCCCCCCCAAAAAAACAAACTCGCTGCCAAAGTCAATTCCTACTTAATAGTAGCCCTGTGGGACAGGGTAGACTCCCCCTGTGGGATTCTGTGACCGTAACACTTAAAAACATGGCTTTTTAAAACAGATTTATTGGCACTTCATCCACATATCATGAGACTGTTCCTCTTTGCAGAAGTAGAAAACTTTATCTTTCTCCCTAACAGTGGTTTTGAACTCCAGACCTGTGGTTAACAACCCGGTGTGTAACCCACTATGCTACCAGGGCTTCTTGCTACCTTTACTAGTCATGAAATATTGAACTTTTCCTGCATTATATTTATCTTTGTGGTTAATTTGATATTGAACTATTTTTTATGAATTAAGGATTATTGCTTTCAGTGTTACCTATTTAGGAAATAAGAATAGACATCTGCTTCAGGAAATTTTAACCAACTTTATTAGTACCCTTGGACTGCTATAGCAAAATAAATGACAAGCTTTCAGAATACTGGAGACTGAGAGTCCAAGATCAGGGTGCCTTCCATGCTGATTTCTCCTAAAACTTTGAGGGAGAATCTGAGCTATTCCTTCTCCTAAATTCTAATAGCTCCAGACAATAGCGTGCAGCTTGCAGTTGCTTCCTTCCAAGCTCTGATTATCTGCTCCTCTTTTATAAGGACACTAGTCATCCAGGATCTCTGGTGGCACTGTTGAGTTAGTGTTGGACTGCTAACTGCAGTCAGCAATTCAAACCCACCAGCTGCTCCACAGGTTTATTAAGCCTCAGAAACTCTATATAGCGTCTCTGTGAATAATAATAACCTTGATACAGTGAGTTCTCTACAATAGGACCGCATGTTAACCTAACTTATAACATCTTCAAAGATCCTATTTCTAAAGAAGGTCACAAGTATAAGATCCAGACTTCAGTATATCTTTTAGGACACAATTCTATCTATAACACTAACATATACAGGGACTTCAAAAGTTCATGGAAAATTCTATTAAAATTTCATCTTTTCATTAACTTTTTGGAGCCCCTACTTATATCATGTTTCCAGTCGATGTTCTTTATGTATGAGGAAACAGACATTAAACTATATAAGTGATGTGTTTGTTCAACTCAATGTTATAAAATTCAAGTGATGTGGACTATAATTATTTTCTTAGGATTTATTTCATTAATGTGGCATTTTGTAGCAACTAAAAGACTGTAATATAGTTTCTTAAGTGGCTAATTTACCACAATTAATATAAAAGATAAATTAGAGAAACACATGTTTGGTAAGTATAGGGTCAGCAAAAACTAGGAAAACTCCAATAAGATAGACTGACACAATTGTCTCAACAATAAGCTCAGCTATATCAAAGATCAAGGCGATAGCATAGGGCTGGGCAACATTCATTCTGTTGTACATATAAACATCATCAGTCTGAGTCAACGTGAATGCAACTAACAACAAAATTATAATGTGTATTATAATTAATATGCAGGTATACTTGGCAAGCTCACGCACAGATATATCAGCTTAGTAGTTTGTTTGTTTTTTGTGCTATTTTATGTAATCTATCCTTTCAGCAAATACAGTTCATTTCAGTACTAATGGAATTTTTTTGATTTTTCTTTTCACACACCCCTCTCCCCTCCCTTCCCCCCACTCTTCCCCTCAGGTGCTATTCAAGTATTGGGAAAGTTCAGGATGCCTTTATATCTTATAGGCAGTCTATTGATAAATCTGAAGCAAGTGCAGATACATGGTGTTCAATAGGGTAAGACTTTGTATAAAAATGATGTGATTGCTACTCAGATGATTATACCACATGCAATGTTCCTTGTTATTTAAAACCTAAAGCAGCAGTTCTGTTTAGTGAACTTGTTCTTCCTTAATTTCTTTTTCCAGAGTGCTTTATCAACAGCAAAATCAACCTATGGATGCTTTACAGGCCTATATATGTGCTGTACAATTGGACCATGGCCATGCTGCAGCCTGGATGGACCTTGGCACTCTCTATGAATCCTGCAACCAACCTCAGGATGCCATTAAATGCTACTTAAATGCAACTCGAAGCAAAAATTGTAGTAATACCTCTGCACTAGCAGCACGGATTAAGTATTTACAGGTAAAGTTTTAAAATACAAGTGTTTTACAGTCACATGTTTCCCTATGGCATTCAGGCAGGAGAGGAGGGTGGCTGGCTGGCAAGTTTGTCCAGTTGTGTTTTGATGTCTATAATTTGTTTCCATATTTTGTAAACATACCATAGCTTGTAATATTCTTTTAATTTTCATTTTAATTAAGATATGCAGTATTTTAAAAGATGCTGTTTTGCACATTTACTCTGATGCATATTAATTTACATATTTTTTCTATGTACTGTCTACATTTTTAAGTTGTCATAGCATTTTAGAGAAAAGAACACACACTGTCTTTCACTCTTGCTTGAAGTTTCATGAGAAGACAGCTATGAGAACTCTGAAAACAGAGCTCAGCTTTGTTCTAATTCTCACAAAGGTTTATATTCTGGTTACCCTTTTTATACTTAGTGTCTTTCTAAAACCCCAAATTAAGACTCTTTTCTTTTAAACGCAATTAGCAAGATTTAGTGGACTTGCTCTTACTCAAATAGGCTTGTGTTAAATTTGCTTTTTACATAATTTTTCCTAGGCTCAGTTGTGTAACCTTCCACAAGCTAGTCTACAGAATAAAACTAAATTACTTCCTAGTATTGAGGAGGCATGGAGCCTACCAATCCCCGCAGAGCTTACCTCCAGGCAGGGTGCCATGAACACAGCACAGCAGGTGAGAAGTTGGGTTATATTCTGCAGGTGCCCAGCTTTAAGGGTTCTTTTCAATCTGTAGTGGTCAAGCTTATTTTACTAAGCACAGGAGGCTTTTATTAATGAAGAAGCCTATTGATGTGATTACAAAGGGATTCTAGATCAAAATAAATCTCCCTCTGATGTGGGAAGAAATTTTGGGGTACCAACTTAGAACCTTTGTGGATTTTCATGATTTTGAAAGAGATTTCATTAAAGTAAAATGCTATAGTGGTTTATTTAATTTTAAAAGCAAGTTTTTCCAAGGAAGGTGCACATTCCTCCATTTATGATTCATTTGAGTTTGATTTTCTGTAATTATAATCAGCAATGTCCACATAGCTTTGAAAAGTTTGCAGCTTGTAAAGTTTTATAATTTGAAGGAATGAGTTAAGAATATATAGAACCCTATTTTTGTCTTCCTTCTGTGATTCTTAGGCATGTAAACCTCATCATCCAAATACTGAACCTGTATTAGGCCTCAGTCAAACACCAATTTCACAGCAATCCTTGCCACCACACATGATTCCTTCTAGCCAAGTAGATGACCTGTCCAGTCCTGCCAAGAGGAAAAGAACATCTAGTCCAACAAAGGTATATATTCTAGAGAAATAGAACATCCCAATCAAAAAATAAGCTTCAACTGCCCTGCGATTGTGCAGTTTGAACATCTATCCTTTATTTTAAATCTGTGGACATCAAAGAGTGAAAGGTTTGAATTTTTCCATCCCAAACTCTTAGCATCATATTAAAGATAGAATGTAGAGCTAAATTTGCATCCATCCAATCATTTTATTCATCTCCCTGCTGCTAAGATCTCAATACACTTTTCATTATCACTTTCTCCTGACATTGAAATAAATTGAATGTTTGATCTAGTGGATAGTGTGGTATTTAGGTTAGCCATTTGGGCCGTAGTTTAGGGGTGGGCCTTTTGGGGTGGCTTATTAAAAAAATCCGTATTCTTTGAAACTTGCAGTTTCCAAGTTTATATGCATGTTATTAAATTATTTTTTAAATAATTTAATGTTATATGACATCCTTTTTATATGTAAATACTTGAATTTATAGTTATTTGGCCACCACTGGTCATTATTGTTATCTTTGTTCTTAAATCTTTAATTTTTTTAAATTAATTTTCCTCAGAATACTTCCGATAATTGGAGTAGTGGCCATGCTGTGTCACATCCTCCAGTACAGCAACAAGCTCATTCATGGTGTTTGACACCACAGAAATTACAGGTATGTATTTATGCTATGCTATTGACAGATTTTCAATTATAAAGGAGTAGAGGTAATAATATATAACTTCTTTTAAGTTGAATGTCAAGCCAGTTAGCATCCACATAATTAGACTGAGTCCACATTTATCATATCAATACAGATAGTATGTTTTACTTCGTTTTTAAAAGCGTTTAATATATTAATATGGTTCAAAATTTTAAAATTATGGACACTGTGTTTTTAGGATATAGTCCCCATTTACTTCCTGACCGAACCATCTCAATTTTTCTCTTAACAGACTGTGTTGTTTGTGTCTCAGGGGTCTTCCCAGACATTTGGCACATTTATAAGCAAGCACATAGCCTACTTCTCTCAATTATTTTTCTGTCTTTCCACCCAGATGGTAAATGCTGTATTGTTAGCAATTTGTAGTACAGACCTTTACACATCATTATATCCAGAGCTACTTATTCTTTTATGGCTATGTCATATTTATTTATGTATGCACTATGCTTTTATTTCATCTTTAATGTTGGTCAGTCAAGTTTTTTTCCAAGCCTTTCCTAATTCAAACCGTGCTGCTTTGAACATACTTGTCATAATGCAATTTTAAGCTTTAAGGTTTTCTATGTGAAAATTATTTTATTAATGAGTAAAATTTCATGCCCCTTTTTCTCAAAGATCCCATTATAATAAACTTTTTCTGATGAGTGTTTAGTTTTTTCTTACTTTTCTTAGAATTCTTAAAGCCCTTCTTTTGGGGGCTGATTACTCTTGGTTGGGAATTCATATTTTTGACCAGACCAAGGTTCTGAGTTTATCTGTTATTTTCAGGAAAAGGTTACTTAGAGTCGAAAACTTGTTTTTTATATATCTTTGACTATATTCTCCTTTTTTCTTCTAGCACTTGGAACAGCTCCGTGCAAATAGAAATAATTTAAATCCAGCTCAGAAAATGATGCTGGAACAGCTGGAAAGTCAGTTTGTCTTAATGCAGCAACACCAAGTGTGTATAGCATTTTTTCCCTTAAATTTGTTAGGAACTTGAATATTTTTATTGAGTGTAATATCATATTAGAGTATGTCCGTGCCCACTTCTTTTTACCTGTACTTGGTGGAATTTAGTGATTTTTAGGGGAAAAAAGTTATAAATTTAATGTTTAATATAGCACTTGGTATTTTACTATTATGTGCTATTTCAAATGTACTCCAACAGTTTATTTCTATAATTTAGAAATTAAAGATGTTCCAAACCAAGGCTAAGTTTTTGTGGTTGTTTTAGTTTGGAGAATCTGACACAAGTGTAGCAGAGTGAATCATTGAGATCCCGAATTATGATTAGAAAAAAAGACATAACTTCTTGATTTCTGTTTTCATTCTTTTCAGCTACTTTGTTTTATCACTATTCAAGCAGCATTTCTTTAAACTGAAACAGAGTTCTTGCTTTTCCCTGGCAGTTTATCTGAAAATGAACACACAGATTTTCTTGGTTTTGATGTATTTTCAACCTAGCATAATGAAATATTTAGGCCAAAACCAGATACCCTGATTATATGTCTTATTTTATTTATCTTACCTATGGCCCCCACAAGCAGCATTTACTTTTCATTTGTTTTTAATAGATGAGACAAACAGGAGTTGCACAGGTACGATCTACTGGAATTCCCAATGGGCCAACAGCTGACTCATCACTGCCTACAAACTCCGTCTCTGGTCAACAGCCACAGCTTGCTTTGAACAGAATGCCTAGTGTTTCTCAACCTGGCGTCCGCCCCGCCTGCCCTGGGCAACCTTTGGCTAATGGACCCTTTTCTGCAGGCCATATTCCCTGTAGTACATCTAGAACACTGGGGAGTACAGACACTATATTGATAGGCAATAATCACGTAACAGGAAGTGGAAGTAATGGAAACGTGCCTTACCTGCAGCGAAACGCACTCACTCTACCTCATAACCGCACAAACCTGACCAGCAGCGCAGAGGAGCCGTGGAAAAACCAACTATCTAACTCCACTCAGGTAATAGACTAGCTGCCTTGTTGGCTTGACCGGTTTAGGTTGTTTTGACTTGGTATCATGTATTTTGAAATAAATGAATATATGTTTGCAGAATTGTTCACTTTTTTATAAGTTTATACTATAATAATGTTGTTACTACATTGTTAGTCTCTTTGTGTGTATGTGTTTCCACTGTCATATTTACACAGAAAAGAATTATAAAATTTCCCAAAACCACCTGTTAAATTATGATGTCATAAGAAGCACATCTACTTGTTATTTAATTCCTTTCTGCATACATTGCCTATTTAAGGTTATTTAACATCTACATTAACAGCTTTTCAGTACCATTGTATACATACTTTTACAGATATTTTTCTTAATTAGTAATGGAAACTAGATCATTTTCTATGTAGTACAACCACTTATACACAAACCATACTTATTGCCATTGCGTGCATTCTGACTCACAGCAACTGTATACAAAGTAGTACTTGCTGTGTGGGTTTCCAAGACTATAAATCTTTATCAGAGTAGAAAGTTAGTGCTATCAAACTACCAGACTTGTGGTTAGCAGCCGAATGTATAACCCACTACACCACTAGGGCTTCTAGGTCTATCCTAGGTGTTACTCATTTGAACAGAAAGAAAAGACCATTAGAGACAAAGCACCATAAGTGACTAGAAGTGTGGCGTTGGTGAAAAGTACTTGAAGGGTCTGTCTAGCACAGTGGTTCTCAACCTTCCTGATGCCACGACCCTTTAATAGTTTCTCATGTGGTGGTGACTCCCAACCATACAATTATTCTTGCTACTTCATAACTAATTTTGTTACTGTTATGAATTGGGTGACCCCTGTGAAAGGGTCGTTCAACCCCCAAAGGGGTCGCGACCCACATGTTAAGAACCATTGGCAGGTCACATAACCAAAATAATCTATAGTCTCCAGAAATGAGAGAATTTGGAAGGGGGAGAGAGCCAGTAAGTTGTGTCTTCAGTACATATTATTAAAGAGGAGAGGGTTAAATATTGAAGCTGAGTAGCCTAATTTATCTTGAAGACAAAGTGGAACCACTAAAGGTTTTGAAAGCGGAAGGGATTTCATAAATATTTTTTCAACAACAGTACGCTGTATTTTCTTCAATTGTTGCAAAAATACATTTAACATCTAAGTTTATACTTCAGGATATGTG